TGCATGGCCATCATTGATGCAGTTGTATGTTCATGAATACTGATAAGGGCTGAATTGTCAAGTGTCTGTTTCCTTTTTGATACAGCTTCCCAAGGGAGAGAAGGTAAATTAATGTATTAAACTCTGTCTGAGAAGACTAAGATGTCTGTTTAATGTCTGGTAACAATAAGAAGAAAAAAACACAAGAGGAGCCGACAATTGTAAGAGGAAAACTGAGCCTAGGATACATTCTTGGTGGGATTAGAGGTAGGGTTGGTCACCATGATAGTTTATTTTATAATTTCCATAATCTCCATATTATGGATCCCTCTTTTATAGCCTTAAGTGCCATGGTTTAAGGTTTCCTGTCTGATAACCAGGATCAGTTTAGGCAAAAATGACACAAAATTTTCTCCCCTCCTGCAGTTTAAAATTATTGGCTGAACTGGAAGCAAAAACTGTCATGTTGTCTAGTTAATATCCCACACTGATGCATGTTGGTATGATGAAGTTTTTTATTGGAGAATTCACAAGAGCTAAAATTGTTTAAATAACACGTGCAGTGAACTAAAAGATGATCCGTCGTAGGTTTTCCCTAAAACTGAAGAAGATCAATATGCTCATATTTTCACTGAGAGTGGAGGATGTACAGATGAAAAATAAGAAGATTGGAATTCTGATCACATTCTCTGGGTGTATTTACTTCTAAAGTTATGGAAGAGTTAGGCTGGTTTGCGTGTGTCCAATCAGTTTAGCATTGTGTTTGACAACCTATGTTCTGGAACCAGGCAACCTCAAACTGACCTGGCTCTTCCCTTGGGATAGGGTGTGCAGCCATTCTGTTTGGCTGAAGGGAGAAGTCCCATGGCCTTATAGTTGGAACTTGGGATAAAGACATGTATATTTTCAACCACAACTATGCATGGGAGACAGGACACATGGGTGGGGAAATCAGTTATTTTCCCTCTAGATACTGTATGCATCTAAGGCTAATGAGTCCATCAGTGTAGCGATATAAAATGGCTACACATCAGTGGATGGGTGAAATTAAATCTGTATATATAGAGTTGACAGATTAAATTAATTACTGATGATGTTGTAGCAGGAGTTACCAAAAAAATGAAAAATAAAAGCTTAAGTACTTATTTTGGTAAGGAACAATATTGTTCAATGTTTCGCTAAAAATAAAGAATAATTCCTCTTATATTCTCATGAATTTTTTTTCTGTGACTAATTTAAGAGTTCTGCTGTAATTAATTTTTTAAGTGGGCTATCTGCATGCTTGACTTAAGTACACAATCATAAGTGAAAAATTTGGTGAAAGGTAAAGGTTATGACGTGACAGAAAAGCTAGAAGCTAGAACAAACACTTCTTGAATGTTGTTCTGTTTGCATTAGTTGTAGGGGTTCGTGACTACATTACTGAATATTTACATTGGGAACTGGTATTCATCCCACTGTATTATGAACTGTACTGGTGCTGTGTTTATGCAGTTAAGGTTTGTGTGTTTTCTATGTCAAGCCTAGTTTAGCTATTTTTTTATATACTAATTTTGATTATTTTAAAATTTCTGAGACATACTAGCTTTCAGTTGCTAGCATATGCTTCTGTAATTAATTGAAGTGTCCTGTTTATAAAGCTTTAGTTAGCAGGCCATTGGATAAGTATGTGGTTTTAATGCCTTTATAGTTTTGAGAAATAATGGGCCAGTCTCTGGCCTCTGCTACAGATCCTTTGAGTCACTCCAGTGGTGCAAAAGAGCTGAAAGCTGCCCTAAACTGGCAGCTGGTGAAATTTTGCCTGGCAAAGCCATTTCTCTGCCAACTCCGCTCCCTCTGGCGTAGGGAGTGTGTTGGGTAGGGGAGGTGCTACAGCATTCCTTTGCTGGCATAAGTGCTGCCGTAGGGCTGATACAAGCCAGTATAAATTAGAGAACAGCCCTGAGGTATCCAGATAAAGGTGCTGTAAAAGTGGTATACCTTTTGGGCTTCCCATTTCACCGCCAGGTAGTACTATCTTGAGCAGCATGTAACTAGATTTGAGGATAAAGCTAATGATTATGCTCGAATCCCTCTCCTTGACCTGGTCTATGTCTTCACTCCACCAACAGGTCCCTCATGAAAACATAATTCTTCTATGAGGCCTATGTTATTGTCAGGTTCCTAAGGGAGAATTCTGCACATCACCAAAAATCTCTGCCATCATCACCCTTAGTTCCCTTCTTGGAGGTCTCAGCCAAATGGTCAAGGACTGACTGCATGTGCCTGAACTATAGTTTCAACCCTATAAGTTAAATTCCTCTAGGTCAGAGTTGAGAGACATGGGCAGGGAGGTATTAGAGAATCTGGCCCATCTACTGCTTGTGCTATGTCTGTTCTTTGGTAAATTAATTTATTTCAGTCTGGAGTATTAGCTGGGAGGAAGAGAAGGAAAGACGAAAATGTACAATGTACAGTCAGCCTGTGGAACTCCTTGCCAGAGGATGTTGTGAAGGCCAAGACTAGAACAAGGTTCAAAAAAGAACTAGATAAGTTTATTTAGTATAGGTCCATCAATGGCTATTAGCCAGGATGGACAGGAATGGTGTCCCTAGCCTCTGGGCAGGTCTTCACTACAGGGGGGGGGTCGATTTAAGATACGCAAATTCAGCTACGCGAATAGCGTAGCTGAATTCGACGTATCTCAGCCGACTTACCCCGCTGTGAGGACGGCAGCAAAATCGACCTCCGCCGCTCCCAGTCGACGGCGCTTACTCCCACCTCCGCTGGTGGAGTAAGAGCGTCGATTCGGGGATCGATTGTCGTGTCCCGACGAGACGCGATAATTTGATCCCCGAGAGATCGATTTCTACCCGCCGATTCAGGCGGGTAGTGTAGACCTGGCCTCTTTTTGCCAGAAGCTGGGAATGGGTGATAGGGGATGGATCACTTGATGATTACCTGTTTTGTTCATTCCCTCTGGGGCACCTGGCATTGGCCACTGTCGGAAGACAGGATACTGGGCTAGATGGACCTTTCGGTGTGATCCAGTAGGGCCGTTCTTATGTTTTTATGTTACCAAGCCTATTTTTAAAAGGGGAGGGAGGGAGAAGTGTGTTTTGTATCCATGGTGTCTATGGAATTGATACTGGGCTGTTTATAATTTTGCCTGGATGGAGTCCCATATTTTATTTGCACAAATGTAAAATATGTCAAATAATAATAAACAGCTAGCATCCTGAACTGTCTGGCCTATTAATTAGTGCATCTGATCTCATGAAAATTTGTGGTGGATCAATTAGAATTTCTAACCGATCAGGAAGATGAGCTGTGTGTAGCTAGAACCCTGCACCTACACAGAGTCACTGGGTCTGCATGTGGTCCGCTCACATAGAGCTCACTGAAGAAACAGGATTATATGGTATAAGTACAATATTCAGACTATGAGATAAAATAGTTCTTAACCACTGCAGAATGGTATTCAGCGCTATTTCCAACAGACAGGAAATACTGGGAACAGAAAGATATTGTCAGTAATAAAATGCTGGAATTGAAATTTCATAAGGTGGAAATCAGGCCCATATTTCTCCAGATTTGCTTCCTCTGAAGTCAGTGTCTGAAAACTCCCATTGATACAAATGGCCAATATCAGCACCTGGATTAAACATGTTTAGATTGGATGGTGTTCAAACTGGATGAGAGAGAGACACCTGAAGAAAGAATAAAGATGGGTTAAGAGTGTGGAGACTTTAAATTCACATTTGATAACAACATTTGATAACACATTTGATGTTAAGGAAAGAGAGCCTGAATAGATAGAAGGTACAGATATGGGCACAATGCAAGTGCATGTCCAATTAAGCATGACATTTCCAGTTTTAGGTTTCCAATACAAATGCATTGTTTAAATAATGTAGCCCTATCCTGGTAACATAAGATAGATTTACAAAAGGGATTCTCTTTTACAAAAGGCATTCTCTTGACACGAGTGTCCAAAATTCTGTACATATGCGAGAGCAAATATATCTCTGTGTGCACTTCAGAAATTCTAATACCTACACCAGTAGGGTTACCATATTTCAGCAAGCAAAAAAGAGGACGGGAGGAGCCCCGCCCTAGCCCCGCCCCCGTCCTGCCCTAGCTCCGCCCCTGCCCCTCCCACTTCCCGCCCCCCTCAGAACTCCCAACCCTCCCCCCCGCTCCTTGTCCCCTGACTGCCCACTCCTGGGACCCCTGCCCCTAACTGCCCCCCAGGACTCCACCCCCTACCTAAGCCTCCCTGCCTCTTGTCCCC